GTGACTAAATAAGACTAATAAAGCAAACTAATTTTAAATCACCAATGCCAAAACTATTGTAAATTTGATTGTTCTACGTACTTTTGCCACGCTTTTATGTGTACATGGTACTAATTATTTTAGGCCTTGTCCTGCCAAACTATCTCAACAAAATGCTGTTACACTGTGCTTATCAATATGGCGTCAATATTAAATTTATGTTTAAATTACTTTTATGTTTATGTTTAAATTACTTTAAAAGAGGAGCAGTCATGTAGATTGAATTTCCAATTTTCTTTTCAAAATGCACAATATTTTAATGTAATGTTAATGGGTAAGGCCTATTTAGGTCATAATATAACTTATGATGATTTTATATCATGTTCATTATAAATAAAACTTACTCATGGGCACGGCTCCAAGCAAAACAACTTTGGCAGAGTTGGTCTATTATTAAATATTCTATTTATACCTATCACGCAATCATAAATAATGTATTAAAGGCCATATACAATAAGAAACAATGTTTGAGTTTAAGAAGAGTTGATCACATTATAACAATCAAATAATTATATGTAGCAGTAAATGCACTTTTGTGTTATGATCAAAACCATTACGCAACTACACTTGTTGAATTAAAATAAAGTGCTTTGTATTAGTGTACAAATGAATAAAATGTTAGGCCTAACGGTAGACAGACTATTGGTTCAGTGGCGGATTCAAAAGTGATGCATCCGACCAGGCCGCTCTCTACCACTTACATATTTCAAAATAAAAATAAATGGAGAAAAACAGAAAATTATATTCAAATTTTAAATCTGATTCCCATTCCCGGCCATCTAGAGGTGCCAAGGCCCCCTCCATTTCAAATTCCTGGATCAGCTCTGGGTATTCGAAATAAAGCTTTAGGCCTATAAGTGCAGATTGTACAAATGTTTAAACTGGTGATTTATTTTCTCAGTAGGTGACACGTGATTGTCCGTCCTCAAACACTTATGAATCAATATTTATTATAGATGTCAATTAACATGCACTTGGCAACACAAAACACTTGACCTAAGTGAGCGTTTGTTAACATTACAGGCAGTAATTCTTAAAAAAAAACACCAAACCATTAGATGTTGGCGACAGCAACCCATTTGCTATATACAATACTACACATATTTAATTTTAAAAAAATAAATAAAATAAAAAAATCCCTGCTCAAACAGTTAAAACTAAAAATTTTGGAGAATACAGTTTTGAATTCAAAATCTTTAGTCATGAGCAGGAAGTTGTCAGTCCCAAGCCATTTTTTTTTTTTTTTTTGCATCGGGAAGACGAATTTTACTTGTATTTTATGTACCAGTGACAATAAAAGAATCTTGTATCTTCTATTAGATAGTCATTAACATACACTCTATAGCCAGCTATTATCAAGTCGTTATTCTCGGAGACTTGCACAAATAAGTAAACAAACGTTAATGATGTTGCTATGAGGTTGGTGGAAATGTTATTGATCCACGGCAGGCTGGCGAGTGAATTGAGTGGAATAGAAGTACCATACAGCTAGCATGGCGCAGTGTTTTGACTATGTAGCTAATAACTCAATTGGTTTGACCACCCAAAAAATGGCATGTATACATGCAATATATAAGCGCGCCTAGTATCTTCCTGGTTCAATGCCAGTGGAGATTATTGTATAGAGAGCTACATATATATACAGTATGTCCATATATGCAGTTAATGTTTCCCACAGCAGTACTTTCCTGTACTCTCTGGATGACCGAAAATAACCTATAAGGCGTATTAGACGACCAATTATTTCTTTTTCTCTTATTTTTATTTTTTATTTTTTTATCAGGGAAAAGAATAAACCACCATACCCCCTTCTAAACCGTGCCTGTTATATATTTGGTAGAATGGGGTGAATGTGTGTTGAATAATAATATACTGTATACAACGATATTCCCTGCTATTGGATCATTATTTTTTCCTTATTTTCAGCAGCTTAATTAATGGATATCGACTTACTAAAATGTCAAATATTATATCTTCCTTGTAAGGTGTACATCACCCTGAAACTAAAAAGAAAGCACAATCTTTCTTTCACTTCTTGTACTCTACTAACCAAACCGAGCCTCTGTTATCAAATTAATTCCTTCGCATACAGCTGCCGTAGCCTTATATGCGGCGATTTATGCAAAATAGGCTCAAGATTGGACTTCACCCATCACCTTCATTTTCATTGGTCGTTCAATTTCTAATTTCCCACCAAAATCTATGCGGACCGATAGGTAAGCACTCACTATGCTGTAATTGGTTGTGTACGAACTCGTATAGGTGTAGGCGGATCGATTTAGGCTAAGCCAAAATTTGTCCAGGCCGGATCAATATTATCCAAGGAGGACTGATTTTCGCCGGCCAAAATCAGTCCCCCGGACAAATTTTAGCCCGGACCAATTTTGGCGTGACAGCCCAATGAATTCGACATATCCAAGAAAAAGTATACTATGAAACGCCAAGCAAATAGGTAATATGGAACGCCATTGGTGTAAAAATAGATTTAAAGACAAAGATTAGGGACTGGAACCCAGTCTAAAGACAACCCCTGAGTTTGAGAAGATTTTTGGACAATTTTTGACTGGGTGTATTTTAGTAATAAATTTGCGTGTTACGGACCATCTGAACATAAGACGAACATGATTTTAAAAATCCAGCAATTAGTATATAATGCGTATAAGGCGACCCCATGTTTTTCGATCGTAATTTGCTATTTTGTGATTCGTCTTATATGCGAGTATATACAGAACAATTGAAATCCAGCCTCAAGTTGTTGTCTTGAATGACATTAGAAACTTTGTCGCAACCTGGCTGATGTCTTTTTTGATTTTATACAAATATTTAGCAATAGCTCCTAATAAAAACAATAAGTATTCACACAGTAAATGTCAAGCTAAAGCCTGGGTTTCCTTAAGATATCTCTACACTATCCCTACAGTTTTTTTACTGTAACCATTGCACTAGCATACAGTCCCCGACTCAATCGGGAAAGCTCTCCGATACAACCAACCAATCAGCTTAAACGAAAGCTGTCGGTTATAGCTTGTAACGATTTTGTGAAAACCAAGCTTTGCAGTACTTATATGCATCAGGGTTTCGGTTGTTGTCATTCTTTTGTCGACACTTTTGTTTGTTATCGTCAATTTTGTTTTCTGAAGCGGCTGCACGAGCCATCAAAATTTCTTTAGGTTGCGGAACAGAGCCGTAGTAAATGAAAACTTCTGCAGCACTAGCCAATAATTTGCCTTGAGTGCAAGATATTAAGTTTGGAGTTTTAATTATTTTGAAAATGAACCTGATCGTCCTGGGCTCGATTTTCTTTGGGGCCGATTTTCTGTAGATGTGAAATTTCAAAACAAAAGGGACAGGATGAAGATTTTCGGGCCACCTTTCTTAGTTTTCACAATGTTTTTGCCCCCCCCCCCCTAGTAATTGTGTTCGAAGCAAAAAGTACTTAAAGATTACCTTATACTGTATCACCTTATTTTGCAAGTTAGTGCCCCCTCACTTAATCATCAAGTACTGTACCACCTCATCTTTGCCCTCCCCCACCTCACTTTTGTTGCCCATTTACCACCCACCTCCCCCTCCCCTTTCAAAATTTTTAGATAATGCCAGCAGTACTGCCAAAGTTTTTATTAAGATTCAATTTACCATAAATTTCTCTCATGACAGTATCATGGGTCAAACATTGGCCACTGAAAGAGCAGGAATTTTGAAGGGTTTCAAGTCTGTGAAAGGTTTTCTTCAAAGTCAGGTCATCTCATTACATCAGGTTGCGACTCTTAAGTATGACGAGTTTGTTGAAGCTGTAGATCATCTGAACAAAGTGTGAGTAGTAGTTTATTTGTGTTATTAATGCATGTTGATATTTATGATTTTTATATAGATAAACTACTGTAATATGTTTTTTTTTAAATTATTGATAGTATTTTTATAGTTTAGTATATTAATATCTGTTTTATTATTATATTAAAAAAATATAATTAATTATTATAGATCATGACAATTTATCAATCATCCTTATTTTCTCTATGTGAGTGGGTTCTGGATATATATCATCAAATTATAAAATGAATTTTTCTATAATTACTGTAACATTAACATTGTTTTTATATTAATGCTGTCTCTTATAC